GGAATATTTCATAATCGAAATTCAATTTCGCTTTTTTTATTTCGATTACCCTTATTACATAAATGTGACACAAAAGTGCCCATCGAAGTTACGAGATTCATGACAAAGATCAATATAGCTGGTCAGTCCGACTGTTGCATGCATATATATATATATATATATATATATATATATATATATATATGTCACTCAATAGGTTCAAGTTGATTGTGCTTGTGAGTTAACTAAGCAAAGCAAATAATTTGAGCATCTTCTTTCACTCCAATCCTTTGCATCGACAAACATGAATATGCTACTTAATAGGTGTTCGAGCAGGGATTTCATTGGGAAGGGTCCCTAGCTCGAGCACGCAGCTCCCCGAGGAGTTGGCACTTTGGTTGGCTGTCGGGCTCTCGCTCGCTTGTCGGCCTGCAAGAATATGACAGAGTTAGTTCTAAGGTGCCTTTGTCGAGCGTTAGGTGTAGGTCGTGAGGCTCGCAATCAAAACTAACTAAGTGCTAAGGCGTGCCATTGCCATCTCTATATGGCAGATGTAGAATGAATGTATTTAAGCCGATTACTTGCGCCCCAAGTTATTCTGATTTCTCATTATCAAAGGATTGTCGTGGATGAGTTAAGTCTACATTAAGTTCTTTTCTATGCCTTGAGATCAATGAATTTTGTTTATCTTGTATATCTTGTATGCTTTAAAGGGTGAAGGTCCATATCGGATTAAGACATCAGTTTTGTTTACTTTTACGATAGTAAAAGTACTAAGTGAACCAGATTTGAGAGTTAATGAAACTTTGGATCATCAAGCGACCGAAAATGACTTGCATATATATTGAGGGATACATTAAAACACCAGATTTATTAATGGAAAGGCAAAAACAAAGAGAGTCGGGCAAGATTTCACCTTGTCGGGCAAGGTTAAAACATCTTACAGTCTCTTCTCTTAGCAGTAACACAAGGGTTGAGTACTTAAAGGGGATGACTGGAAATGAGTTTACATATGAGAGATCGATACTACGACATTTAGGAAAAAAAAAAAGGTAGCAGAGCTTTTACATAGACAAAAGATATCTTTCTACAGGAAATCTAAGGCTAAAAGGGTGCAGAATCTGGACAAAGCACATCTTTCTGTGTATTTGCTTGGCTAAGAGACAAGTTGTATATTTGTTTGTTTGATTGATTGAGTGTCCTTGTCTCTGGGCCCTCTTCCCCCTTTTATAGACGAATTGGCCCAGCTGTGTTGTTTCTACTCTTGCCTGAAAGCAACTTAAGGGTAATGAGTCATCAGGCTTTTTACATGTTTGCCATCCAAAAAACACTTTTGGGCCTAGAGTTGGTGAATTTCCTTTGATTGTCACTTCTTGTAAGCAACTAGCCTTTGCATTAATGGGGGAGTGCCAACTGGTCTTTGAGATGGATGATCTGGGCTTTGGTGCTGGGTCTCGGGCAAAATCTCCTTCTTGAGCTCTTTTTGGGCTTCCCTTCCTGAAAGCCCAAAGTTTAAATATTAACCCAAACAATAGGCTTCGAAGCAATCCCTCATATGGCGGAGCTGTTGCACGGGAAGAAGCTAGGTTGATGTCGAAACTCTATTGAACTTTGGCAGAATTTGTGTCAATTTTCATTCACGTTTTAGTGTCTCTTTTTTGTCTGTTTATTGTAAAAAGTTCTATCTCAAAATTAATTTGATAAGAATATATGATCAGTAACCCTAAAAAAATTTGAAAGAAAAAGGGTGGTGGTTCTACATATCTGACTTTTCATGGCTTCAATTCTGATCGATAATTTTACTAAAGAATATTTTCCATTCAATGTTACCATAAATTTCCAAATTTCATCATGAAGGCGGCTTTTAATTTTCTTTGGGTAAATACAATTTTATCAAACATGACTTTTTTGATAGAGAAAGATTAAATAAATAAGTTTAAATTTCTCTATTTGGCATAATAGGTAGCTAAAGGCGGCTACTAACCAAAGTGAGATGCGTACTTCATCCCGCCATAGGAAGAACAATTTCATGAATCCGGGAACCGGTTTGGGTCGTTCCACCATCACGAATTTAAGGTGGTCCAGCCAATGATCCAATCAGAAAGCTCTCACATGTCGTTTTTGCGACTTTATACCAACTCTTCAATTAGGGCACATGCATTGCTGACTGCTGCCATGCTGATGAACTTGTGTGAACGTAGATAAACTTGAATATGAAACCTTCAATATAATGTTGACTAGACGCGATTTGATCACATTGGCTGCTGACTCAAGTCTTGGTCTTCTTTCTTAAGTAAAACATTTTGTTCTAATCATGCTTGCGTGTGTTAAATTCTTCAAATTTTATCTACTAATCATGATTAGCATGCCACATGCTAATTGACCAACAATATTGCTTCTCTTTTGTTCTCTTTCTTACTAGGACTCTTACTTTCGTAATAATCGATACAATGGTATGATGGTTGGTCCCCCATTTTCTTTTCTTTAAGGATAATGTTAAAGAGATAAAATTTACAAGTTAAATAATGTGTCCCTAATACAATTGAACACGTTTATTAACGGTAAAGTAATAAACCAGTCATCAACTTATATGTCTTTTAGTTTTTAAATTTTTATTTACAAATTTAATCTTCCTAACATTATTCTTAAACATATGTTTAAATATTGTTTCCAAAAAAAAAACATATGTTTAATTAAAAGTTTAAGTGGAACTAACAACGAAAGCCTTGGGATTATTATATGTTTAAAGCATACAAGGTGAAAGTTATCACATGGCTCTGTTGGTATGAGTTATGATTTGGGCTTGGGGTTTCAAGAGATGGATAAAACGAAAGGCACATGTATAAAACAACTCTTTTACTCAAACTGTTTACAGTGAACGGAACATCACCATTGTATTGAACAAAAATAGATAAGTTGGTTGCTTCAGTGATAATCCACTCACTTAGAACAATAATAATGTTAGATTAGAGCATTTCCATATTATAAAGATTATGTTAAAAAGCTTGTGTTATATATACTCATCTAAGTTGACATATGTCGATATAAACTTTGAGCAAAAAATATTACTCTCCAGTATTCTGCATCCACTCTCGACGAATCTCAATAAATGTCGACATATGTTAGTATAAACTTTCAGCATATGTTGACAAGAATTAGAAGGTGATTACTGGTGCTCGACAAAATGACCCAATAAAACTTTTTTGTTGATATTATGATTCCATTATTTGAAAATTCTGACTACGCTACTGTCAATTAGTTTACAAAATTTAATTTAAAAATTAATCTCCCTAGTATTATCCTAACACAGTAACAAAAGAAATTAAGAAGAGGAAGAAAATAAATCTTAATTAACGTCTTCGAACGGATAATTTTCGTTGGATAATTTTGCCTGTGGTGCGCTGGTAAACCCTAGTCTTTTGTCACTTTGCCATCAGCTACCAGTGATAAACAATTGCATGTCCACTGCTAAAGTCATAAAGTCATTGTTTTCCAACATACTGCAAAAGTCTTCAGCGCTATAATCGATGATATTGACCTTTTATAACAATCTTAGGTCCTTTCGTATTGTCTGAATTATAGATCCTATGTTGGATTAAGTAATATGACTATTGTCGTATGTAGTAAGGTTTTTCTAGTAGTTTAAAATCTTAAATTTTTGTTTATTTTGATGGATTAAAATAAATTATCCGGTAAAAATCTTTCAGAATTTAGTATTATTAGACTTTTAATGGGCGATTGATAAAGACCCAATTAGTTACCGTATTGATTTGAAATATGTTGTTTTTTTGTTTTTTTCATGTCGTGTTAACATGTGGTATAAGAAATTGTTATGTCTAATGTTTTCTGTTTGGAAAATGCCAAGGAAACCATATTTTTATCATATTTTGTAAATTACATAATGTGACAATTGATGGTTAAATTTCTTTTATTGAAGAATTTCAATCATAATTAACTATCACATTATGTGGTATCTAAAATATGGTCTAAAAAATGATCTTCCTATTATCGTTCTATTTATTTTGGTGTAAACAAGGCCATGTTAATTTGATTATAAGTCAAAGTTAGGTTCGATGGAGAGACTTTGTTTATTTATGTGTTATATAGTTACAAAAACAAAAATTATCAACAATTGTTTAAGAGATAAAGTTTTTATTTCGTAACAAATTATTGATTTATCGTTGTAATCTCTTTGTTAATTACTTTAGTTCATGTGCATACATCTGATTCATAATCGGCACTTCCTTGTTTCTGTTGTTAAAAAATATGTTAGTACAAGTAACTAACACGTGTAAAGTACCAATCGTTAGAGCTAATTTAAGTTAATATCCTTGGAGGATGTGATGTTAATACTCCAAAAGGCTTGGCAATTCTTGGTGAATGAAATTGTTTAATTAAGTGAATAGCAACAAAGCTTGTACAATATCTTACATATCATATGAAAATGAATGTTTTGTGTACTTGTCAAGTCTTGTGTATATAATAGAGTTATATAACATGGCCTAAAACTTTAGTCATTCCAACATTAATTTAAGCTTATCACATCAAGTTTCGGAATATCAAATCAAATGAAGTTTTACTTGTGATCTTCTCTAATAAAATGAAGATCTGATACCGCAAAATTAATAACATGCAAATGCGAGTTTCTACTTAAATTTCGCTTTTTCAATACACAAAAATTAGGAATATTGTTACCCTCTCTCATATTGTTACCCTAAATGTTGTGATTAAATCTCTCTTTCAATATTATGTTAGATGATAGGTGGAGTTAAACTTAAGGGTAAGTAACTACAAAAAAAAAAAAAAAAAACCGTTCATTTCTACTTAATAAAGCTTAAGAATTTTTTTTATTTGTATTAAGTTATAACTTGTGCACTTATCAAATAAACTTACGTGTGAAAACAATACAAACGCGTGCAACATGTTGATACGCCCTGTGATCCCCACACACTCCGAAACAAAAAAGACGTCACCTCACGCGATTATATATATTAATCTGTCTGCCTCATCCTACTCACCGAAAAGCTCCTCCATTTTCCTCTACAAAAACAACACGCTCTCTCTCTCTAGAAGCGCAAAGCAGCTGAGACACCGCAACATAGAGGACCCGTCGTCGTCTTTGGCCATGTTGACATCGATGCTCAGCTGGTTCACGCCCACCTCGCTCTTCCTCCTCCTCAACCTCATCATCGGCATCATAGTCCTCAGCTCCCGCCATGGGACCCACAAAAGGCCTCAGCAGCAACAACAACTGCAGCAGCAAGAAGAGCAACTCGGCCTGTTCAACTCGCCCCAACTCGAACGAGCCCCCTCATTGTTGGACCGGGTCCGGTCGATAAACTTCTCCCACTACAAATTCGAGCAAACGAACCCGGAAACCCAGTACGCGGCGCCACAACATGCAAATTTAGATAATTCGACCGAGTTAAACGGGACTCCCTCACACCAACCCGAAAGAAGTCCTTCGCTACTGGACCGGATCCGCTCCATCAACTTTTCCCACCACAAATTCGAACAATCCATCAATCCAGAACCCCAGTCCGGCGAATCAGCAGAACAACATCCTGGTTCGAGTCCGAAAGTCTGCGATAGTCCGGTCGGGTTAGCTAGGACACCCTCGCTCTTGGAGCGGCTCAAGTCGATGGATTTCCCATTCTACCGGTCCGAACATGCCGATCCAGAGAATAAAATTTACGAACCGGAGGAGTCCGAACGTGAGGGCCGCGACCCCATTTCGAGACAAGAAAACTTGGTTCATCGGAGTAAGTCGAACCCTAGTAATGGGGCTGGGGTAAACCAGTACCAGAAGATAAAAAAGTCTACTAGCGAGAAATCGCGGCTCCGAGGAGGGGTTGAAGGAAACGACGACGAAAGGCCTGCGACACCTCGGATGGAGAAAACGAGGTCGTTTGGAGGCGATGAAGCGGTTGACGCGAAAGCTGACGATTTCATAAACAAGTTTAAGCAGCAGCTGAGACTGCAGAGGCTCGACTCGCTCTTGCGTTACAAAGAAATGCTTAAAAGAAAATAAAAAAAAAAAGTAGCCAAATAATAAGCAAGTTGTTTTCCTTTTTTAAATTTAATTTATTGCCGTTTTTTTTTTAATGGTTGGCTGTGGGTTTGTGAATGTAATGGTATTTATTCAGTTCTGTGGATTATTTTGGTAACATGCATTTGGTAGTAAGTTGAAGTAATTAATGAGTATTTTATGAAATATATAACTATAAACATATGTAATTCTCAAGCAAGGGAAAGGATCCTCTCCGGACCCAATCCCACCGGATCCTCTGGATCCATCTTCTTTAAGGGCCAAGTCGGCGTCAGCCCGGAGTAAGCTTCGTGGCCTCCCCGGAGCTAGTTATCTACAACGCTGTAATAGTCGTCGATGACTCGCCGTTCTAAAGTTTCCCATAAACAAACAAAAAGAGTGAAGAAGAAGACTCAGAATTGAAGAAGAAAGGATTATTGAAGGAGAAGAATTGTAGGAGATGAGGAAGCAGAAGAAAAACTGCAGAGAAAAATGAAGAAGGACGATCCTCTCCCCTCAAGCTAAGCATTGAAAGGCTTACGTAAAAGTTGTATGTTAATTGCCAAGAAAGTTAACTAATTGACAATATGGGAAGTAGCATAACCTCTTATAAACTCAATGCAAGGTCCCTTCTCCATCAATGTGGGACTCATTCTCAACACATCCCTCACATGTGGCGAATTTTCGAGCCTAACACGTGGATAACACAACAGGGTGACGTGGAACACATGTGACCGTTTGGCTCACACATTGGACAACCTGCTCTGATATCATAAAGAAAGTTGAGGTTTCATCATAAAACCAATTGGCAATATGTAGAGTAGCCCAACCTCTTATAAGCCCATGCAAAATCCCTCATCCCATCAATGTGGGACTCATTCTTAACAAAATAATTACTTAGTCGAAGAAAATTACTTAAGACAAAACAATAAGTAAAAAAAAAAAAAAGTAACACAAATCATTGATTTGAAAAGCAAGGCGAGTAAGAAGACATATTCCTTCTTATGCTATATCTAGCAAGGGTTAATCAAAGACTCTTCATCATCGTTATAGAAGGATATTACTTAGGTCATAATTTGATAATTTCCGTGGATTTTGCCAGGTCCATTTTGTTTTGTTGTGAGATAGCTCATTTTGTAGTTCTAAACCCTTGATTGTTGTTAGCGCTCAAAATTTTCAGGATAACAAATTAAAGTACTAAATTTTTGGTGGGCTTACAATGTGGATTGAAATTATTTGACTCAAATATTTAAGTGGTCCACTCATTGAAACTGGGTTACATCCACTGTGTTGCTAGGATTGTATTGTTTTCAAGACTAAAAATAACGTTCAGCTAGTACCTGAACTTTCTCTACTTTCAGTTTTACGACCCTAATACAAGAGGTTTCCACCTTTATATCGGCCCCCAAGGAACCCTCCCTAACCGCCTTGGGTTTTCCTAATTTGACATTGAATGCACCATTTACGTAGACTAGAATATACTCACATTTTCACCTATCAGCCAGGCATTCGACGATGAAGTGACATGTGTTCAGTCGAGATGGTGCGCCTTTTCAGAGTGATGCGTTGGTTATTTAACCCGGTATTTCTGAGCGTTGTTCCGACCATGTTGGGTCTCTACTACAGACTGTGAGTCGCCACGTAGTCTGATTAACGTTTAAGTAGACTTGTCCCTGAAGATTTGTGCCATAAAGCTGTCAATCTGCCCACATGCTCTTGGTGATGGGTAAGCTATTCACATTTGGTCGAGCAGTCTAATTAACGTTTGAGTAGACTTGTTCCTGAAGATTTGTGCCATAAAGCTGTCAATCTACCCATATGCCCTTCTACGAGCAAATAATCCAAATTCCAAAGCCTCTCAAAGAACAAATCTCTACAAAGAAAGCAAGCTTCTCTCAAACATTTCAAAGAGAGGGTACCATTCCTTCTCCAAATCTCTCTCAATCAAGTAGTTTTGGTGAAGATGTACCATACCTTCTACAAGCTTTCTCAAAATCAAAATAAGCCTTCTTTGGCAAAGCTCTAGATTTTACTTGCTTTCTCTTTTTGTGTAGCTAGCTCACCATTTACAATTCCGTCATCTTTTAACAGCCACTAAGTATTTCAATACAAATTTCTCTTTATGAATCACTTTCATATTGTGATTTACTTTTCTACTTACAAGAAAAATTAAAGTCCGTCTATTAGCGGCACGCCCGCAATTCCCACGATCTACACCTATATGTTCATTTTCCAGGGTCGAACAAATAATTTTCAAGAAGTCGTTGCAAGAATCTCATTATCTCACATGCATGAACATGTTTTTTTGTTTCTTAAAAAATGGATTTTACTTTTTGGTTAATATTTATATTTCTTCTTGAAAAAAGACCCTTCATGATGCTCAAAGTCTCCGGATCGTCTTTGTGAGGATCCTGGAGATCCTTAAATTGTGTCCGTTCATCATATGTCGTACGGTGAGTTTTTGTTAGGTACTATTTATATTTAATTTTAAATAAAAATATTTAAAATAATTTCTGACCACACGATATACGATGAACGGATACGATTTAAGGATTCCCATGATCCTCACAAAGACGATCCGGAAAGGATCCTCATTCCTCAAAAGTGGCACAAATTCGTCAACCAAATTAATGAATTATTAAGCTCAAGAGATTAGGTAGTACGTTCCCTTATAGATGAGTTTGCAACACCCTTTTCGGTTCCTGCCAGTTATAAATTCTCAACGAAATTATATGTTTAATTAATGAAGTAATATTAGGTAGACTAAATTTGTGAACCATGTAATAAGTCACAAATAGGAAATAAGTATGTTGATCAATATTTAAGTAATAATTTAATCACTAACAATCACATTATATGGTTTACAAAATATGATTTAAATTCCGGATCTCTGTGTTCAAAGCTTGCGGGTCAAGAGTTCCAGACCACTCAATTCCAATTCTACGGCCTCAATTAGCCTATATCACTGGCCCACTTCACAAAAACCAAAAAACTTGAACGACCTGAATCTCTTTCTTTCTCTTGAACGGTCTGGATCTCTCAATCCTCCGATTTTGAACACAGAAATCCAAAATAAATCCCAAATCTAAATAAATAGTTTCCCTAACATTACTTTTAATTAATTAGTGCGTGTCTGCTTCAATTCTATCTAAGTTCTAGCTAGATTATTCATTTTGATAACGAAAGACCAGTAAATCAATTGTTTTTTTTAATTAAGTACGCTATTTCTTTGTGGATAACTTGATTACTGGAGACAGATATTTATTGATCCATCACATAGTATTATTGTTTTGGCTAAATCGCCAATATGGTCCCTAAGATTTGCATAACTCATCACTTTGGTTCCTGAGATTCCAAATCGATAAAAGTAGTCCTGAGATTGTCCACCATCCATCATTTTGGTCATTCTGTTAAAAACTCCGTTAAGTGTCCCGGAAGAAGTTTAGGTAATTTTCAAAGCTTCGTAACTCAATCGTTTCTTAACCAAATTCGACCCATAATATATCAAAATGAAGATAGGAAAATGTAGAATAAAATTATACCTATTTTGAAGCCCAATGGTTGCCGTGGATGGCCGGAAAATAGCTTCAAAGTTGATTGGTCTGAGTGAAAACTTGAAAACTCGCCAAAAACTGAGTAAACTTTAAACGTTCATAACTTCTTCAATACTCAAGGAAATCAAGTGATTCAAAAACAAAAATTATACTTCTCGAGACATTTTTTGACGGCTAACTCGCCGTGGTTTGGCCGAAAAACGGCTCGAAAGTGGCTGTTTTGGTCTCGAGAAGTGTGATTTTCGTTTATCACTTGATTTCGTTGAGTATTGAAAAAGTTATGAACGTTTAAAGTTTATCCAGTTTCCGGCGAGTTTTCCAGTTTTCGCTCTGACCAATCAAATTTAAGGCTATTTTTCGGCCATCTCCAACAACCATTAGGCTTCAAAATAGGTATAATCTTATTCTACACTTTCCTATCTTCATTTTAATATATTATGGGTCGAATTTGGTTAAGAAACGACTGAGTTACGAAGTTTTGAAAATTGCCTAAACTTCTTCCGGGACACTTAACGGAGTTGTTAATGGAATGACCAAAATGATGGATGGTGGACAATCTCAGGGACCACTTTTATCGGTTTGGAATCTCAGGGACCAAAGTGATGAGTTATGCAAATCTCAGGGACCATTTTGACGATTTAGCCTATTGTTTGTCATTTCAAGGAATTTGTCAATTTGCAGCACTAAAAAAACGATGCAAATGTGACAAAAAGTTTGTAGCATTTAGGTAGAATGATTTTTGGTAAGAATAATTCTAAGAAGATCAAAATTTTAAACTAAGTTTGCAAATCAAATGATTTGTCACTAATGGGAAATAAACACGTTAATCAACATTTAAGTAATAATCCAACTATCAACATTTATATCATTTAGTTTAAAAATTTAGTCTTCATAGCATTACCCTTTTGGTAAATACTGATCAATCGGTAGTGCATGGGGCCCCGACCAAATAAATTTCCAATTTAAAATTGTTAACCAAATAAATTTTCAATTTAAATAAGAAAAAGAAGAAGAAGAGATACTAAAATTTAATATTAAAAATTAAAAACGAAATAATTAACCAACGATATTGAGTTTGATAACAAGAAGAGAAATTGAAATTAATTATTGGAAATTAAAAACAAAATAATTATTCAGCGACATTGAACTGATAACTAGCATAAGTAATATTGAATTTGCCCCCGTCTCCCCCCGCGCGGGAGTTGAGCATTGATTGACTCCACTCTGAGTAAAACTCATTCTTGATCCAAAGGTTGTTTTCCTCTGGCCTTCGACATCGAGGCAGCTCCAGCACTGCATTTCACGGAAAGAAGATTAATTCACAATAAATTACTACAGGCCAAGACATTATTTACATTTTGTTCGGGGAAGTTTATTTGATTTTTATTATGAAAATGAATAATTTTTTGCGAGAAGTGAGAGAGAGAGTTATATGATAGTTGAACTTAAAAAGTGAAATAATTAAAAGGAAAACTAATGAAAAATTTATGAAAATTTTGAGTTTTAACGATAAGGATAAAATAAAAGGTAAAGGGAATAGTACAATGATTGACTTTTTAATGTAAAAATATGATTTTTTGTTAAAATGAACAGTACCAAGAGTTTTTCGTTAAAGTTTCCATAATTAAAAGGAGAAAAATGCTAAG